GGGTTTCACCATGTTGGTCAGGCTGGTCTTGAACTCCCGACCTCAGGTGATCCACCCACCTTGGCCTCCAAAGTGCTTGGATTACAGGCATGAGCCACCACGCCCGGCCAGAAAAGGCTAGATTCCTAAATTGTGAACATTATGTTATTTAAACATCACTTAAAATATGCATCAAAGCAAAATGAACCTGCTATATCTTTTCTATGGTAACGTTTGTATTTATGAAAATGCAAGTTCTGTGCATTGTTCAAATAGACTTTGACATCTCTAATTTTTAACATTTTAAAGAGAATGAATTCCTGTGTTGCTGGGAAATTAAATGATAAAAGTGTCATTTTCCAGGCTTGGCAGGATACTCCAGTGATTTCCAGTGGACATTTCTGCAAAGGTTTTGTTTTTTGTTTTTCCCCTAGGTTTCGGGAAGGAGTTTTGAAAGGAATTAAAAAAGCTGAGGTTCTGAGATTCTTTCTGAGGTGACCAGGCCTGGCTTTCAACCACGCCCTGTTTGCTTTTGGCTGTTACCCTGCTGCAAGCCTTGTGATTCATGTTGTTTAAAGGCTGAGTCACCAGCTTTGTGACATAGCATTTTTCAGAGTCCAAAAGGTACAGAGAAAAACAACTCTGACTGCAGAGGCAGGGGAGAGAGAGGAGGACATGAGGAAGAAGTAAGAAGAGGTCGAGGGGAGGATGGGGAAGGGGCCAAAGGTTAGCTACAAAGAGAAACCAAAGTTGTCTCAAGCAGAAAAAAAATACTGAAAACACCCCAGCATTCTGACTTGAATGGCTATTAAAGCAAGCAGAAATAAACCTTTCTCCAAGGTCACCAAGGTGACAGGGAAGGGAGAAGAAAATGGCCTCCCAAAACACAGGTGTCCAATGTTTCTCTAGAAAAATTGTTCTCAACAAGGAGTGATATCCCCCTCAGGGGACATTAGGCAATATCTGGATATATTCTTGGATGTCACAACTCAGTGGGTACTGGGGGTGCTGCTGTTAACACTAGCACTCGTGATAGACACCAGGGATGCCGCTGCACGTTCTGTGAGGGACAGTCCCCCACAACAAAGAATTATCCGACCCAAAACGTTGATGAAATTAAGAAGCCCTGCCCTAGAAAGGGTTTTTGTTGCTGCAACAACTGCCTTCGTGTTTTCCGAAAGGGCCCCCGAAGCATAAATGTCCCACTTGGACTCGGGAGTCAGGTATCAAGTCACGCTCTTAAAACCTAAACCCTGCTGACCTAGAATGCGACGTGCTAGAATGTGCGAGAATGGGATGAGTCACTGGATCCGTTTTCAGTTCATTCCACCCACAGATCCATCCTTTGCAGGCGCCCCAGAAAAGATTGCTTCAGAGCTGGCACCAATGGAGAAGGGACAGAGGCCCAGCAACAGGGCGGGATTGGCAGGCGGGTGGAAGCATGTGATGGGCTGAGCTCACAAAGGGCCCGGGTGCTGGGCGGGTGCTGGGGCGGGTGCTGGGGCGGGTGGGGGTGGATCAGCGCCTGCTCCTCTGCGTTCCTTTCTCCCCTCCCCCTTCTGAAGGTCACTACGTTGACTGTGACTTAATCCAGCCCTGAGAGCTGGATTAAACTGTCTGAGAGCTCGAGTGAGGGTCAGCAAAGTTGTTTCCCCCCAAGAGAAAGAGCGGAGTCAGAGAGCTAGTGGGAAGGGTTTGCCTTGCTTTCTCATCGCTTATATAACCATAAAAGGTTGTCAAGGATGTCTGCAGGTTAGAGGCCTGGCAAACAAACAGGAAGAAGAAAAAAAACCCTAGGGAATGTGTTCTTCCTGTTTCTACTTGTGCTGTATAGTTGTGCAGTGGAACTCAAATTGCCCATGCTTAGAGATAACCAGTTCATCTCACCAGTCAAGCAAGACTGCGGGGCTGGCCTCCAAATTTGCCTCGTTTAGGAGCATAAGGAAGTGATTTAACCTGTTTGGGCTTTGTTTTGTCACTGTTTGGTTTTGTCTCAAAATTGTGGTCAAATAGACATAAAGTTCACTATTTTTTTTTAGTGAATGACAGGTTCTTATCTTGCCCAGGCTGGCCTGGGACTCCTAGCCTCACCTTCTCAAGCGCGAGGACAACTGGCCTGAGCCACTGTAGCTCCCATAATATTTACTATTTTTAAGTGTACATTTATTTTTTCTTTTTGAGACAGAATTTCGCTCTTGTCACCCAGGCTTGAGTGCAATGGCGCAATGTCGGCTCACCGAAACCTCTGCCTCCGGGTTCAAGCGATTCCCCTGCCTCAGCCTCCCAAGTAGCTGGGATTACAGGCAGCGCCAACATGCCCAGTTAATTTTGTATTTTTAGTAGAGACAGGGTTTCTCCATGTTGGTCAGGCTAGTCTTGTACTCCTGACATCTGGTTCTCTGCCTGCCTCTGACTTCCAAAGTGCTGGAATTACAGGCTGAGCCACCACGCCCGGCCAAGTGTGCATTTCCGTAGCATGGAGTACATTCAGTGCTGCATACCAACCATCACCAACATCCGTTTCCAGAACTCTTCATCTTGCAAAACAAACTCTGTCCCCATGAAAAATTAACTCCCCATTCTTTCCTCCCACCAGCCCCTGGCATCCACCATTCTTCCTGTCTCTATGAATTTGACTACTCATATGACCTCATATAATAAGCTTTAAGTGTAAAATAAAATTTAATAGTTGAAAAATCATTTTTTAGGCCGGGCGCGGTGGCTCAAGCCTGTAATCCCAGCACTTTGGGAGGCCAAGGCGGGTGGATCACGAGGTCAAGAGATCGAGACCATCCTGGTCAACATGGTGAAACCCCGTCTCTACT